AACACAACGTGGTGCGATCATCCCCCTTGCGCGGAGTGAGGGTTCTCCATCCCGCACAGCATGATCTACTCGACCACCATTCATAGTTACCGCCAAAAAAAAAACAGAGGTAAAAAAAAAAAATCGGTATCCTGGTTGCCGAGTTCACGAAGTGAATTGGCTTGTTTTTCAACGTCGTTGCCAAGCGACGAAAACCCAATCCCGATGGCAAACACCGGGGGGGGCGGCTTGTTTTACAACGTCGTTGCCAAGCGCCGAAAACCCAATCCCGATGCGTTTGGGGGGGCTGTGCTGGGTGGGGGGCGTTAAAATCTAAACAAGGCTGATATGTAGGTCTGCTGTTTGTTTCAACGTGATGCTGTCCGGATTTTTGACGCGCGACATCTAGCCCCGATGCGCACGCCCCAACCCTCCCACGTCGTGTTGGATCCGCTTTTCCACGCCGACATTTTGTGGAAACCCACTGGACAACAGGACAAGCACCGCCACAAGAGCAGCAAGAGCAAGAAGGACGGCCGGGAGGAGGCGGCTCCGGAGTACGGGGGTAGGGTCACGGATGCCAAGAACTTCGCGCCCGTTACGAAAAAGGTGTGTGGTGCGGGCGGTGCGATTTGTCGCGTGTCACGCCTTGCTAGGCTTGTGACTGTGGCCATTTTGATCGTGTTTCTGGGGAATCTCCTGTGTACAGCAGTAAGGTGCGAGGGGGGGGCGGTGGAATGGCCAGGGAATACGATGAGCCGCTCACTAAGGTTCACTTCGGACTGTAAACGCGATACGTGCTTGGGCAGGCTGGATTTCGGACGTCCGCTTTGCTTCTGTGGTTGGGGTGATGTCCACCCGCACCTTGCCGGTTCCCTGCTGTAGTTTTTACCGCGAAGTCTCACCCCCTCCCCCCTCTATACCGCGTGCGGCACTGATGTTGCTGAATTTTACGTGGGCCTTGTCGACCGTTCGTGATGTCACTATTGGGCGGGTTTTTGGCGTGGGCGCCAGCAGACTGCGACGGATGAGCTTGCTGATTTCTTAGGCGAGAGCAGCGAAGGAGACAGCGACGAGGGCTTGCGGGAGCGACGCAAGGTTGTCAAGGCCATAAACCCTTCTGCGCTGGCCAACGCCGCCGCGGCAAGAGGTAAAGATCGGTCGCTGCACCCCGAGACTTGAAATTATCGTGTTAGATTCTTCAGCGCGGGGCGGGGTTACGGGGGTCAGGGATACCCTTGTGGTGGAATTTGAAGCTTTTTTTGGGAGAGGCATCCAGCTCTTACGTAGTGTCTTGCAGCCAGAGACGCGCGTGAGTCTTGAAGCGTACCCTCGTTGCCGGGTAAATCCCAGACCTCTGTTCGCCTTGTCCATGATGTCCAGGAAGACGTTCAGTAGAGTTTTTCGACCTCTTCGGCATGCCGTTCAGTGTGCCCTCCAGCTTCTGGTCTATTCTGGAGCACTTTTGACGTGCCAAAACAGTCATTTTCCTCGTCAGCCTTTTTTGCTTCACTTGCTATTGTCCATGCCCCCCTCCCCTCCCCCCCGTGCACGCCTCCCTTCACCCTCGGATCGTCCCGTCCTGGTACCCCTACGGCCGCGGGATACCGCCGTCAACGTGCACACCAGCAGACGATGCTACGGATTCGGACGAGATGCCTGCTCCGAGAACATCGAGGCTGAAGCGAGTCACGGCGCCGACCAAGGTTAGTCGAGGTTCATGAAGAACTCCGAGCGACCGTTTCGTGGTCCCTTGTGCCCGGCAGCAGCGCCCTTTGCCGCGATGGCAGCCGGTGGCTCCGAGAGCATCGTGCGCCCGCCGATCCCCCGGAAAAATCCCGAAGCGCAGTGTTTTTTTTGTGTATGAATGCCCGCGGGCCGTGTCTCTGTACCTTGGTAGATGCTGTTGCGTATGTGTTTGGTTGAAAATTTTCTGCGGGAGCGTGGTTAGCAGCAGGCAGCGGTGATTGCAGGGATTGCAAGGCGGCGGTGATATTGCCGCCCTTGGTGTGCTGCTCGTGTACAAGGGTAGATTGCAGCTTGGTAAGGTTGATGTGGTACTTCGTGTTTTGTCAGGTATTACGATGAGACCGTTCATTTGGAGTCAAGGTCGGCGGTCCGCTTCTCGTTCCCAAATAGCGGAGGTGGCGGTGGCAAGCGTTTTGTTCCGTGATACCATAATATTTTCTGAGATTTAGGTAATTCTGCCGTGTGCTCGAAGGTCTTGGCCTCGCCCCCCCCCAATCCGTTCTATCAAGATTGTACAGCACCCTTCTGTGTGCTGTCTACACCTGAAAAAACACGACTCCAACATGAGCCCTGGTAACACTACTCTATCCCGACCCTGGACACCGTCGCCCGGGAAACTCGAACCGCACCCGCTTCCCGCCGTCAACAGCCGATCGCGAGGCCCCCTTCGACTGCCCAGCCTCAGCAATCTTCGATCGGCATTGCCGCCTCCTCCAGACATCAGCGGCCATCTCCTGATGACACCAAAGGGTCTAGCGTTGCCAAGGTGATCGGTAACGTCAAGGGGAAGGAGGACGTAGAGGAGGAGCCGTCCGCCGTGAGGGACACGGAGAATGACGCGGAAGAGGAGATGGAGGAAAGCGAGGTGGCGCGAACTGCAAACGAGGAGGAAAAGGGGGATGGGGCTGAGGGGGAAGAGAGCGCTGCGGCGCACGGCGGGGGCACGGAGCCCCTTGCAGCCGGAAACGAAGGTGGGGACGAGGCGGACGGTGTTAGTGAGGGCAAGGTTCCATCTGAGGCAGACACAGCAGCAGCAGCAGCAGCGGTGGCGGCGGTGGCGGCAGAAACTTCGATAACCCCCGAGTCCTCCTCAAAAGCAGGTGACGAAACGGCGGAAGGCGGAGGGGGCGAACAGGGAGGAAACCAGGCTGTGCCGGCGGAGGAGGAGCATTCCCAAGCGGCGGGTGAAGGACATGGTTCTGCGGACGGGCAAGCCCATGACGAGGGGCGGGAGGAAAGTAGGGGGCGGGAGCAAGCAGCTGGGGCGGTGAGAAAGGAAGAATGGGAGGCCGAAGCGGCGACAGCTGCAGAGCAGGTGCGTGGTGTGCGTGCTCTGTTTCCTGATGGTCTGCGCTATGATTGCGTCCAGAAATGAGGTACCCCTCAGTGCTTGTAGCAGAGGAAAACATGTTGCTTGATTTTTTGCTTTGCTCCGAGGTTAAAGCGTGCCTCGTTACAGATTATGAGAAACCTGGTGGCGAAACACCCAGGTTTTGGTTGGTTGCTGCTCTTTAGTGGCCGAAAGAACGGTTGAAAAGTCTTGGCTCCAGTGATTCGACGCACTCTCCTTGTCTTGTGAGCGGTGTACTGCTCTCTTGCCAGCAGCGTCGTTGCCTCAGGCTACAAACGGCATCGTTCACCCGACCGATGGCTTGGTTGCGTGTGAGTTCGTCTGAAGCGGTGACCATTGCCGACAGAAATGTTGGCACAATTTCGAGCCATCCTGACGAACGCTGGACCTATCTCGTTTTTGACCGCCTAACAGAAGGACGCTACACAAGCAAAGGTATCCAGTTCTCCTGCGGCGAAGGCCTCAACGGTTGCGGGAAACGACCCACCGCCGGCACACCTTTCGAGAGATACTTCGGATATAGAAGCGAAAGAAAATCCCCAGGAAGCCGACGTAAACGGAACAGCTGGCGACGACACTGTTGTCAGGGTTGATCAGGCGACCGACGCTGGCGACGACGGCGACAACTACACCGATGGTCCTCCGCAGGCCGATGCTGCGTCGGAGGAGGTCGGGCCTACTGCGGAGGTGGACGACGGCATCGTGTCAAAGTCTGTTGATGCCGCCGTCGATCAAGAGGCTGTCACAGTTCAGCGGAAAGCGGGGGACGAGCACCTAGCTAACGGCGATAGTGGACCAGAGCAGGAAGTGGCGGCCGTGCCTGGAATCGAAAGGGCGGAGGCGGACGATGCCGTGGTCGACGAGCACGACGAGACCGGAGCGCGAGGACAAGAGTTGAGTGGTGGCGAGAGCGGCGGGGAACTCGGCGCTGACGTGGGAAGGGAATCAGCAGTGGTCAGGATAATAGATTGCGGCGGTATAGATGACGAACCGGGTGCTGAAGCCCCCGAGCCCGGAGTGACGATCAATGACGACTATGTCGGAGAGGGAAGCCTGGGCGGCCCGGTTGCGGAGGATTTTTTCGCCGAAGACGTTAGCAGCGGGGAGGACGAGCTATACCCGGGAACTGCGACGGCTGCTGGGGGCGAAGTCGTTTCTGCTGAAGGAGGTGTTGCGGACGATGATGGCGCTCCTGCCGGTGATCACCCGCCTTCCCCGCGAATAATCGCGACAAGCCTTGAGGCTGCCCCCCGGGGGGGGAACGAGAAACGCCTCGGGTTTCCGCCGTCCCCCGTCGCGACACAGCGGAAGGAAGCTGCGGTAGGGGCAGCCGCGGCTGGCGGGGACGTTGGGCTTAGCAAAGCAGCGAAGGCGGCGGTTGAGGCGGCTTTGGCGAGCGCCCAGTCGTCATCGGCAAGGCGTTCGAGCCGGTCTTCGCGGAATGCGGACGATAGCAGTTCGAAATCGCGCAAGAAGAAAAAGAGCCACAAGGAGCGGCGACGAAAAGACGGCGGCAGCAAGAGCGGGGGCGAGGATGGTCCTCGCGTTGTCAATGGTAGACGTAGCGGCAGTATCGGTCCCTCGGATGTCGATAGCGGAGAGAAGCTATCATCGTCCAAACGGCATCAACGCAAATCCGCTGTTTGACAGGTAATCAAGTCAGACATTTTCATGATGGTTTGCTAATGTCTCTTGCGGCAGATTGGCGTGGGCGCCATGGGCCCTGTCTTTTGGCTGCGATTGGTTGCGCCACCAGCGCATATTTTGACGCCGACTTGTGTCGGCAACTCGCGGATGACAAACAACAATTTTGCCCTGGAGATTGATTCATCCCAGGAAGGACGGTGCGATCAATGGTGTGTGCGTGGGTAACGGGGGCGAGGAGACCATATTTCGTCACGTCGAGTGGATCTCTCCAATCTCCCCCCGCAACTCACGGGTTGTGTTCGTGGACTCTGCACTTGCACAGATCCTAGTTAGTGCGTTTTACCGGAAGTCGAACGCGCATACGATCAAAGAATCCCGACAAGTCCGTTGGTTGTTGCATGGATAACGGCCACGGTTGCGTTGTAGCCTGACGTGACGCTTGTTTTCACATGCCCACTGGTGCGACCGCAGTACGTGACGACGAGTCGCCAGTCCCAGGATGCCACCGATTACCTCCACATCTCAGGCTCAGAAACACACCATTTTCGCATGTAAAACAGCTTGCCGCACAGTAAATAACGCCTCTTGAACACAGTAGTGCATTCCCTCTGCCACAAACCACGTGTACATTTCGATGTACACGAATCGACCCTTCCTGGAAAGTGCTCGGGGATGAAGAGCAAAACTCGCTGTTGAATTATGTGTGAAAGAGATACATACGTAGATGCAGCCAAAACAAGGAGAAAAACGACAGAAAAACGAAGACCTTCGCCAAAACGTATTTTCCATGGCTGTCCTCGTGAACGGTTTTTCATGTCGGAATAATTTCCCGCATTAACCAGAAACCACGGTTCAAAACAGAAATTTTTGGGCGGTAAACTGGCCACCACGGCATGCTCCATGTGGTAACTGGCCACCACGGCACAGCAGTACAGTAACTTTTTGGCGGTAACTGGCCGCCACGGTAGATTAGATTCCGTACGGAAACTCGTCACCACGGTAATTTTATGTACGGAAACCAGCCACCACGGTGATGCACAGCAACGTGCATGTGTTACCGTAACTGGTCACCACCATGTATATTGTACAGTTAATCACACCGAGGCATGTATGTAGAGTCCTGATTCGTTTGCTTGCTTTCAAGTGTTCCCTAAGGGTGTGGTCACCGCACACCAAACGTGCGCGGCACGTTCACCGAGCATCACACCCGTCAAACAAAACGGTCGCATAGTCTGTATCCATTTCATTGCACCGGCAGGCTCTCTTGGCCTCAAGACGACGTATGTATGTCCATCGCTGCGCCAAGTAATATGTCATCAACAGGACAACCAAAATCTAAGCGCTGCTTTCCTCATCCACCGAGAAACCAACGGTGGAAATGTTCAACGGTTCAACAAACAATAATAGAGAACATCAAACCATGAACGTGGGAGAAAAAAGGGTGGAGCGGGGTTCCAACCCTTGACCTCGCGCAGGTTATTGGATAAAAGGCGTACTTCTTGGCCTAGAGGGACACACGAGCATTTTGCTGTGGCAACCGCTGATGATGCAACTGGTGTTTCTGTGCGGTAGATGGGATATTATTGTTCTTACGGAAACGTACTTACTCCGCGGTAACTCGAAGGCACAGGAATTCCGATTTTTGCGCGGTTATTTTTTGTACGGTAATGGGGCACTTCAATTTGTTCGTTAACGGTTTGGGCGTTAACGGTAAGACCAATTTATCACGGAAACAAATTGGATGGGAACGGTATTCTCATTTCACGGAATCGCGAGAAACGGTGATTACCTTGGTTTTACTGCGATAAAACTACCGCGGAGAACTTAACGAGGACAGCCCTGGTATTTTCCCGTTTCTTGGCACTTTATACCATTTGATGGCCGCCCTTACGTGCGCTGTCGAATCGAACAAAGTTTCTGGACGCTTTGCGAGAAGATGCGGAAGACGTGCGGCATGTTGTCGTGGCCAAGATGTTACCGTGATCTTTTGGCTCGCCAGCGCACGTTACGGGTACGGGCGACCTCTGTGATATCCGCGTGCGCATGAAGAAGCCGCCGAACGCCGCAGACCATGGGTAGGGCTATACGGGGAAGAGCTATATGAAGAACCCTGACCACAACTTTCCCGATCAATGTCAAGCCGCGGTACCTAGTGAGCACGACCATGAGCGACACCACTCGTCACCCAAGGATCTTCGGGGTACAGCAGTTTGTTTCTCGGTGCAATGACCAAATCAGAAAATTGCGTGGTCCGTTTGTACTGCCGGTCTGACCCACTGCACCGGCCCCGCCGAAAGGGTGGTGATCGGGTCCATCTAAAATAGCTAGGAGGAGGTGTTTGTGGGAAACGATGGGGAGGGGTCGAGATTCGTGGCCAGATTGGTTACACGCACAAAGCTGTGCGGCGGAATAACGTACCGTTCCGAACAGGCACGTGAACTCAGCACTCCCTCCCGTTTTCTCAGTTTGTGTCCCCCGTCGGCATCTTGCAACATCGTGGGGATCCACATCGTGGCGGCCCTCTCTCTCCTGTGCCCTACCCCAAGAGGGCGAAGAGAAAGGTGCACCAGCACACCAACTGGTTATGTTTATGCTGCAGGACCATGAGGTGCTAGTTGTTTTTCGCACAAGATTCTTCTACCCTGATGAAATCGACCCTCACGGCCGAATCCTGTCGAAGGTGAGCGCACGGTCGCGATATCTACCCTGCGCGGTAGTTGGCTCCTTAGAGGAAGATCGCCTCGTATGCATTGATCTCATTACCGGAAAGCTTACAGTAGTTGTAAAGTCAGGTGTGGACAAGGAAGTACCACAAGTACTGGCAGTCGTTATGATGCAGCTACGAGTGTAGCGGGAGCAAACCATATGGTGTGTACAGGGAAATCTTCGTTGGACCGCTCCACAGCAGTGACTGTGTTTTCCGATCAGCTGTGTCTGTGTGCGCTGTCTGTGTGTGTTCCAATCGATTGGGCACTGCTTTAGATCTTTGCCTCCTCAAGTTCACGAAGACATCAAACTAATGGAGCGAGTTGTTGAACCCGGAAGGATTCAGAGGATTCAGGAAAGCTTTAGGAGAGATGGTTTCACCTCGTTGTCGTGGTCCTTGCTGTGCTTCACAAATTGCTCACCAAGATGTGTCTACTGCTGTACCTGGTCATGTGGCTGCCATACACCCACAATGTTTCATGCCCAGAACAGTGATCTTTCGTTAGTGGAATTGCTGTGCGAAGTGAGTTAGCATGCTCCTCGTAGAACTGCTTGGGATATGGTTTCTTATTGGCGACGAGGTCGCCTGCTGGTGCCGTTTCTGGTGCTCCGTGCAAATCGATCGACAACGATTTATGAATCGCAGAGGACAGCTGGGAACGAATGGGAGGGTGAGCATGTACAGGATATTCCGTGGAGAGTATGAACGGAGGGATAAACGGGACTGTTTTGCAGCATCCTGCCTCTCCCCCTTGTTCGGTAGGCCGCTTTGCGATGCCGTGATGCCTGTCTAGTTGTGTAGCTTCCACTGGGAGCAACGTCTTTGTTGTTTTTGTGCAAACAATGTTCCACGGTCACGGAGCAGCAGTCTACGAGACGTGTTCTAGTGATTTACTGATGACTCTCCCGTCTTTGGCCGAGCAGGGAAGTGCGAGAGCTTCGGTTACAATGCAGGAAACTCTCCAGCAGCAATGACGAGCTACAATTGGCCGCCGATGCCAGGAGAAAGGAGGTGAGCGACGGAACGGTTCCAAGATCTGTCTTGTGTCTTTGCTGCTGGTGAACCTCACCGGTAGCTTGTACTGTAAGATCCGATGAGATGTGTTATACGTATCGCCACATCAAGGGTTGTGCACCTTGTTGCTGTGACACTTGAAAAGGTGCAAGCAACCAGAAATCACATCAGCCTGATGCAAGCCTGTGGGATCTCCGAAAGCGGACGAATCGTCATGTGCGCCAGATATTGCCGTCGGTTTTCTCGGTGCATGCTTCCTCATGTGTATGGAGCCCCTTTCCTGCCCACCTGTCTACTTGCTGTCCCTGCGTCCAAAACTCAAACGTGGTTTGTGTGGTTTGTCGTACGATGGGCAGGCTTGTGCGTCCAGAAGGAGGGCCGACGCCGCCCAAAAGGAGCTCGAGGCGGAGCGGAAGTCCGGCGTGGTGCTGAGGAGGGTCCGTGATGCTCTACAGGTGGCCGCGGCCGCGGACAAAAAGTTGATCGGCAGGTGCAATGCCCAGTTGCTGTTGCGGCAGCCAAAGAAGGGGCCCAGTTGTGTTTGCATGGTGCTGCAGGATGTGCGGGAACATCTGGCGCCCCCGCTCATCCTCCAGTTTACGTCCACGATTGAGGCGCGGTGCATATATTGTGAACAGCCGAAGGCTCATGGTATGGGTTGCAAAAATATGGCAAAACTACGGTCATACACTCGTTTGCCTCCCTCATCTCTGACCCCTAATACTCCCTGTTGTACAAAGCTCACCAACATTGTCTACCCCCCCGCCCCCCCCATGCACGGCTATGAGTACATCCCCCCGCCCCCCTGCACCGACACCTCTAAAATTATTTTCTCGTGTGTGACACCACAAATTGATTGGACAACCTACATATGCGGGTGAATGAACTCACGACAAAGGCTTCAGGGGCAGCTGTGCAAGGGGTCGCCCAGCTCCCGCCTCTTGGACAAGGCGCGCTGCCTCAAGGGGACCGTTGAGGAGCTCGAGAGTAAGGTACGAGCAGCCTTGAACACTGAATCCGCCCCTATTCTTACTGGTGTTTCCTCAGAAACTCATCACCAATAGCTCGTAGCCCGTGATCACAACCCGGACGCAGGAAAGCGTACCACAAATATTACACGCACGGAAGGGGGACACCACGGAGGAAGGTGAATGTGCTGTCAGTGAGTCCTTGTCCAGACCACCGCTTCCTCGTCGAGGTTACACCAGGACGAACGGGGAATGGAACGGACTGTCGTGCGGCGATAGCCCGTTGAGCGTCCCTTCCCCCCCCATGTCGAACGCTTTCGTGAGCTACAGAGGATGTTATTGTAAGCGCTTTTACTGTCGTCCATCAGCGCTACGACAGGGAGTTAGAGGGGATCGGGTGAATGGTCAGTCGAGTCGCGTTTTGGAGTCCCCTGCCTTCTTTGATTGGGGGAAGAAGGAAGGACAGAAAATTAGCACACCTCTACGTGCAACTCGACTACTTCTGTCACTTCGCACCACACACAGAGTGTGTTCAGCCTGAGCGTGGG